CCATGTGTGTACTGTACATGATACTAAGATTTTAACTTTCAGCATCTGGGTCTTTACTTTGTTCTGGCCCTAACAGTCATACCAGGGAACGTACTTTTACTGAGAAGGCAAACTCTCAGTCAAATTCTTTATATAAATAGAAACAAGATTACATCTGTTTAAAGCACAGCAGAACATAGGATGGAATGCATGAAAAGATAATTATTAACAGATGTTTCAAAGATTAATTTTATGGATGAGACAACCCTAACAGATTTTTTATTTTAACACATAGAAACATTCTTGACATGAGAATATAGAGTAGCTGAATGTTATGTACTGAATGAGGCTGCAAAATGCATTTATTTTTGTAAGATGATTCCATAGAGACACACTGAAGTGTGCATTCAACATTCATTTAGCTCCGAATTCCTTTTTGTTTACTTGTGATCTGTAACAGGGATTTTAACGTTTTTTTTTCCAGAGAAGAACCTTTTAAGAAATAACTTGCAATACGGAGCGATATTTTAAATTGTAAAATCAAAGTGAGGTCTATCATTTTAATAATGCTCTAATAAATTATTAAAACATTGAAACCAGTTTGATAAGAAAATAAGTTACCACGAGATGGTGAGAGTCTCGGTAAAATGACTTGTTCAAGATGATCAATGTTTCTCCTCACTGAACGTAGTAACCTGAAGCATTCAGGGACTTAAATGATCTGTATGAAGACATTTGTGCAACTTAATTACTACATTGAAATGTGTCGTGTAATTCGGTATGCATTGGGGAATTCTGCACGACGAAGCGATTTTTTTTAAAGTTCGTTATTTGAAACTACAGTAAGTTAAAACTATATTTTACACATACTGAATGATTTCAGAATGCTTGCCAACAATATACGCCATTTCCACTCACTCTCCGACCCTTCCTACCCTGGTTTAGAGACTGCCTGTTTCTGAACTCCGACCCGAAGACAAAAATAAACTCGAATTTAAAGAATATTGAATGAACTGTTTCCGGCAGTTCTATAGTTCCACACAATTGCATAGGAAAGTATCCACTGTGTATATTGTAAAGAGCCCCAAGAAAGCGGACGAAAGAATAGGCTTACAAGCACCACCAGTTGGGCCGTAGTGTTTTTACATCCATTCAGTAGGTATTGCGTTTCATCATTCACATCTTCTAATTTTAACTCTGTATTTTCTAATATCTGCAAGTATAAATTGTAGATTAAACGATAAAGTTGTATGTTTCTTAATAGTGACATGTTCAGTTATTTGCCGTACTTAATAGCAGTTTAAAATAAAGTGAGGACTAGTAAATAGCGCAGTCCTGAACCGCAGGGCTAAGAAAAGTAATGGAGTCATTTTGCATCTGAGCGCAAACACCCGCATTAACCTATCTTTGAGTCATGAGAAGAAAATCTTGCAATTTTATTCAAATACTAGAATACAAAATCGCAAAATACGTTGTTGTATGAAAAATATCAAGGTTCAACTTTTCTTAATCAGAAACCTATTTTGCGCAATGAAATTATTTCACTGCTTATATCGCAGAAAAGCAGGAAGTGTTTCCAGTTTGAGATTTTTACCAGAAGAGGGCACCAGAAGTTTGTATTTTTCTTTGCAACTGAACACCGCTGTTGGTATAGCAATATATAGAAAATATCCAGTGGCACTTACTCAGCTCCATCGAATATCACAAACCGTATTGAAATGCTGATCCATTTGCTTTTAAAACAACCTCGAAATATTTGTAAAAAGATTCAGACCCTTAACCGGAAGCCCGGGGCGCAAGATGTACTCTCCCCTGGATGGGACGCCAGTCTGAATGTGGTTGGTGAAATTGATTTTTTTTTTGTTTTAATTTGCATATAGAGGGCATCAAAAATGGTATTTTTCAGAAATATGTATTTTAAAATTGTATTTTTTATTATAAAATCTTGATGCATTTCCGACAATAAAATGGTTTATCCTACACAAAAACAGCATGAGAGAATGTTTGACAAAGCAATGGAAACATTTACCCTGCTTTTTGTTGGAATACACTGTGTTTAGTGCTCAAGAATGATGGATTACTTTTAACTTTTTTTTTTTGGATCAGATTGGAGTACATCAGAGGATGTAATCTCTAATTACCCTTGTTCAGTCCCAGTAATTTGATTTTAGATATTGTCTTCCAAAGCTGAGGTCATTTACAAATGCAATTATCCCCACCGGTAGAAAATACATTCATCTTAAACAGGCTATCCACTCTAATGTGAGGCTGTTAATTGTATTTTTTTTTTAAAAGAACATACAATGCTGTGTGGATGCCTGCACTCACAGCTTTCTTGTGTTTTTTATGTAGCAGCAACACAGTAACTTTTCATGAGGTAATATACAATAAATCCACACACAAGCTGAACTGAAGAATGTAAAAGTATTGATCATTCTGTTGTGTCTGCCCAATTAGCATCACAAGTTCTTCTGTAATGTCAGCACACTACACACAATATGCTAATACTCTATTGTCTGATTTGTCTTGCATGCATCCGTTGTAGCACTTGACCAACACACTACATTCCATTTTAGTTTATTCTCAGTGGCAAAACACGGCTAGAAATGTTCCAGTTCAACCCATGATAATTAGTGCCATTTTAAATTTTTGTTGTCACCTTTGCCGTTCAGATTTGTTTTTTGATTTAAACTGTGAGGCCATAGACTCCCCATCAGCTCCGCTGTGGCGCAGTTCTGTTTCAGTTTAACGTGTCATGGAAAGGAAGATCAATGTTTTGAAGCAACCTGTTCTGGCATCTTCTCCTGCACATCACAACTGCAACATGGAACAAGGTTGGATGTCTGAAAACACAAAGCAACCTGATGATGCAGGCACAGAAATGAATTACTTTGTGTTTCTGTAAATGGCTGAATTCAGAGTATTCAATGGTTTATGTTATTCATTTTAATTAATGAATCAAAACAGGGTCTGAATTATTTAATTACATTTGTGCAAGGCATATGGTTAACTGTGTATTCAAGTGAAACAGAGTGCATTTATTGTTCTTTCAGAAGACGGAAACAGCAGAATTGAAATAGAGCAGCAGCTGTACCAATACTTTATGGAAGCAAGTGTTTTTCTGTGTTTACATATGAAAGCCCCGGACTCTCAAGTGTCTTATAGGTTGGGTGCAACCCTGCTGGTTGCATTTGAGTGGGCCCTACCCCACTTCCAACTGACTCCTGGGGCTTGTAAG